GGGGACGGAGGACGGAGGACGGAGGACGGGGGATGGAGGACGGACGACGGAGGACGGAGGAAGGAGGACGGAGGATGGAGGACGGACGACGGAGGAAGGAGGACGGAGGACGGATGGGGACGGAGGACGGAGGACGGAGGACGGGGGATGGAGGACGGACGACGGAGGACGGAGGAAGGAGGATGGAGGACGGAGGACGGAGGACGGACGACGGAGGAAGGAGGACGGAGGACGGAGGACGGAGGATGGGGGATGGAGGATGGAGGATGGAAATGTTTCCCAGGTTCATCTACCGATTGACCTCGACTCGGTCGCCATCGCAGTCTATTCACTCCTCCGTTCTTTGGAGGATACATTATGGGAGGTGTTTCGTCATCGAATTTCCATTGCTTCCAAGTATCGCGTGGTTCTGTCTCGAAAGAAACAATGAGCAAGAAATAAATGTAACCCATCAAACTGTTGAAACTCTGGAGTTAAAAAAAAACCGGACGTTTCTAACCCATAAACACCCGAGTTCAGATATTGAGTTTAAATTTGGTATGAATATGCTCTGCAGGTCCGACTTTTACCCCCATGTTTCCTTATTTTTTGTTTCACTAAATAACAATTTTATTACTTTATTTAATTTAATTTTTATTATTTCCAATTTAACATATTCCTATAATATTTATATAAAACTGTAAATTTTTTTCTTTCGTAATTTCCTCAATAACGACTCCAACAATTTTGTTATTCATGAACATTTTTCGCTTTTTCATGTTTAAAGATTTTCGAACTATGAGAAAGTTCGATCAACAAACTCTTGGGTTAAGTAAAATTTTGCAGCGTTCCCCCCCCCCCCAAAAAAAAAAAAAAAAAAATCGTGTTAACTGTAGCACCGAAAGGAGAGCAATTAAAAAAAAATTAATTGATTCCTGGACTCGGACACAGATATCCGCGAGAGTCTGAATCTGCTCCCGAGTCCTTCATCGTCGTACTCTTCCTGTTTCGGTCGCGAAGTACTCTTTCCGGACGAAGCTGCCTCCGAATTAGATGAAGCCTTGCAGCCGTGGTCGTGCGAACGCGGAGAGAGGAAAGTCACAGGTGGCAGAAAGAATGCACCGTGCGACGCTTGAGACATGTTAGTAACAGGTGACGCATAGGTGAGTTTCCGTTGACCCCCAGAGAGGTCAAGGTCGAGATGGAGAGACCTCCAAAGGTGTCTTTATTTTTTTCTTTATTTTGAGCCGGGATGAAGTCGGAATATGGCCGAAATAAAGTTAAGGAAGAGATAAAGAAGTTTCGGGGAAAAAAAGGCCCCCCTTTGGTGTCAATGAATTTTTAAAATTGCTCTCTTTTCAGTGCTACAGCTGACGCGATTTTTTTGGGAACACTGCAAAATTAGTCTTAGCCCAAGAGTTTCGTTGATCAAACTTTCTCGTAGTTCGAAAATCTTTAAGCATGAAAAAACGAAGAATTTTTATTAATTAAACAAAAATGTTGGAGTCATTATTGATGAAATTACGAAAGAAATAAAATTTTCGATTTTATATAAATATAATAAGAATACGTTAAAGTGGAAATAATTAAAATAAAATAAAATCCAGTAATAAAATTGTCGAAATAAAGTTAAATAGAAGTTCTGTGAAAATGGCCCCAAAATGAAACTTTTATCTTCATTCGGGGGAAAGTTAAAGCTGAAGCACTTCCGCAGTTCCACTTCGAGTTTTTGCCAACGTTAGTAACCAACGTTAGTAACGTTAACGTTAGTAAATTACCTGTGAGAACCCAACCTACCCCTCCCCCCTCCTCCTCTATGCACCAACAATACATTCCGTATAAATTTATACTTTTAATTTCGTTAAATTCAGGATAATTCGAAAATTTAAAAAGCTTTATTCATATTTTGTCGGGATTTGTTGCCCCCCCCCCTACGGCTCCGCCTACTTGTGGCAATATTTCCAAGATTTCACTCAGGTGCACGAGATGCGCGAGTAAAGTGCGCTTCCATGCTCGCATCGGTGCTTTTGCTAAAAAGGGAGAGCATGGTTTTCGACCGTCCCAGTTCCGAGATGCTAGTCGATGCATCGACGGCGATCCGTTGAGAAATATTCGGGGGCTCAAGGACAGTACCGTTGCAAGTATTCCTCATTCTCACGTCGCATTTCTCACGTCCGAGCCGGTTTCGATTCACCCCGTTCCCTTCGCGAAGGCCAGCGAAAGGGGACGCCGTCGCATCGAAAACCGCTAAGAATTTCGCAAATTTCCGAACGCGAGTTGAAGATCGACGGAGTGCACTTCGAGTCGGAAAGGCAGAAGAAGAAAGAATTTATCCTTCGTGAGAATGATACATTTGTTTCGACGGTCGGGGCGCTAGATCGACGCAAAAGAACTGGAATCAACGAAACCGATAATCCGATCGGCCGATGTCCAGGGATAGATATATTACCGCAGCAGATGCAACGAGAGATCTAAATCGGCCCGCGCGATCCCCGATGATCTAGCGTCGACGTACGAATCCATCGCCCGGAAGGACTCGATCTTCTTTCTCTTCCACACCCAGCGACCTCGGGGTGGGAAATGTTTTCGGTGGGGATCCATGCACTATCGACGAGGCGAAGGAACGAGGGGGTCGTGCGCGCGCAGTCGATTCGACACATGGCCAATGGCAAGGGGGGGAGTTATGAGAATCGATTCCGGTGAGCACGTGGGATAGTGACTCGGAAGTGGATAGGTGAGGGATTTCGAGCAGGATGACTCCGTGCCAATGATGAGTGGCCTAATGGTAGTCTCGGATTAGGTGGGCACATGCGAGTAAGTTCAAGGATGCCATTCGTCGTTGCTTGATCATAGGCCTATCCTTCCCCCAAGAGGGAGAGTTAGGCCTTTCTTTAAATGCACCTAATGATTTTAAGTTTTGGAAGATATATCTGGAAAATGAATACATAGAGTATAGCAATAGTGACAGCAGGCAGTGTGAAAGGCGTTGAATGTCTTGAATAGGACTTTTTGAAGGGAACTGCCATCACCGATCAAGGGAAGAAGCTTTACTGGAATGTGGGTCTGGGTGAATGCAAAGATTTGACAAAATTGCATGCTTTTCCAAGTCTTATTGTAGTTTGCAATCCAAAACCTATTTGTATTAAGTAGTGGTGTGCCACGAGGGCTTTTGTGTTTGAGTAAATACTCAAGGAAGTCTTCCAGCCTAATGGAAGCACAAGAGTATTGGATCTGCAATCGTAGGCATCGCTAATGTTAACTGATGCTCATTCTTGCACTAGCTGTTCTGTTCCACCTTTCTTGGTGAGGTCCCAAAACTTGCTACTTAGGTGACTTCACTCAGATTACAACTTGTGCACTCCATGGAGTTCATTAGCATTAGCTACAGTGGTACTAAAGTGCTCATCCTAGTGCAGGTTTTTATCAACACCTGTGTCCATGTGCTTCAAAACACCTGCTTTTTCTAAATAAAACAGTGTGATAAGGTTCACTCAAGGAATATTTTGACTTAGTATGTTTGATGAACCTTATATTTTCTTTGTTTAAATTTTGAATTTTAGGGGTCATTTGTTTCAGCATTCTCTTGGTTTGTCTAGGTCTTTTTCAGCACTTCATTTTTGTTTCACACATTTATGAGAATAGGTGATGTAATCGTATAAGAAATGGATTTCCGAGTTCATATATTCAGCTGTTGCATATTAAGAGCATGAAAATTGGCCTAAAGACAGATCCTTGCTGGGATCCCTAGTTTATGGGTTCCCAGTCTGAGTTAGCCTCATTTCAAACTACCTTTACTCTGCAATCTATTATTAAATTTCCCATTCATGCAACATATGATATGTGGAAGTCAGTGAAAGACAGCATAGACTTTTACCTTTCTCTATACACTAAATCTTCAGTATACCCATACTGAGTAATGTAATACAAGGTTGAGAGGTGATTGACAAGGCCTTGCTATTCCAATGAAAATGTGCTTTTCATTTACATGTAAAACATTTTAACTATTATAGTCTTACTCTTTGGCCATGCCTCAAGAATTGGAAGATCTCATGCCTTTGTTCCCCTCTATCTATTGATTCTAACCATCTAAGCTGTTGATGTTCTGAGGCCTCCTAGGGCTTCCTGTATCATTCTCTTTTAATGAAATTATGTTTTCCTTCCCTAGTGCTGAGATATCCAGCTGTGCAACTGCTCTGTCTGCTGCTGTTAGTCACAAGAATGAATTTGACCCTTCTGCAAGTTCCATTCAGCATTCCCATCCCAAGTCATTTCCATCAGCCTGTGGTTTTCATCGAAGATTAACATTCATTATAGCCCAATTTCAATAAAGTGGGTTCCAAGTGACTGCAGTCTCAGGAACCTATCAGGATGCAATATGATCAACATTACCAGTAGCCCAAGAATATTTCAGCTGAAGAGTAATTTTCCTTTGAATGGGCAGGAGAGATTTCTTGCTTTTTTCCAAATTTTTATTTATCATTAAACTATTCAGCCTGAGTGAAGAACAGGAAGAGAATCACTCACAAAATTGAAATTCAAATTCAGAAGAGCACAGGAGACTGGAGGAATTTTTCATTGCTTCTCCGTGTGGAAAGGTATGAACTCGTGGCCCTTGAATGATTTTTTAAACATTTTTTTTAACCTCATCAGTCAAAAAGTAAAGTAAAAGCCATAAGATAATGTATGCATGCTTGCCACTTGAGTCTGAAGAGGTTAAGTGATGTGCACTGTTTCAGCTACCTTAATCGTATAATGTCAGATCTTTGAAATTTAAGCTTATTCAGTTATCTAAAGGGTCATTTTAGAAGTATTTTAGTTGAATAATTTAGCATATAGTGTCTCTTGTAATACTCTTCTTACCTTTTGAGACTGTATGAGCTCCAATCTGATTATCACAATGAAATTTTAGGTTAATGTTAAAAAGATTAATAGAGTTCATGTCTTATATCACAAAATGTTGATATTATATCTGACACAAATTGAAAATACTGCAAAAGCAGAATGGTATGGTAATTACGTTTGTTATGCACATTGAGCACCCTGAGACACTCATCAAATTTTGGAATATTCTGGCATTAACTAAGTTACTACTATGCAACTTTATGCTGGCTATTCTTACATGAATTCATGAGCACCAGAGATGCTTCAGCATTCATAATGACTAATGGAAAACATTACCATACAACAAGAGAAACTCTGAAGGAAAGTTTATTTTATAATTCTACAGTAAAGGAGTGTTTAATGAGCTATTATTGCTGAGGTAAGGCTCACAGCACTGGAATATGCTATTACCTAGCCTCAGACAGATTATGGCTTTTAAATATTTATTTATTCAATTTTTTTCACAGGTTGAAGTAAATTTTTTTCACTACTTATATTTGTAAGAGTATATGCAGTTTAGGAATTTGATGACACGCCTAAGTGTGTCCATCACATATGTTTTTGGGAATTTCGATGTTCTCTAGTGGTCATTTGATATGTTTGCATTAGCATTGTTTGTGCCTTCTCGTAATCTGGATTTAGGTATTGATCTTTTATCATTTGTATGAGGGATCATATGTTTTTACCTGATATGTTCAAACAAGCTCTTGTTTATAGACAAGCATGAAAATGATTTTATGCAAGGTTTTTTCTTGTAAAGAAAAATTTCATACATATGTGAGAAAAACCCATCTATAATTTTGAACCAATTTGCATTCAAAGGTCAAGTTGTAGTTAGCAGGCAACAGCCATAATTTCTTAACTATAAAAAAAACTGGTATATTTTAGATAGAAGGATGAGGAAATATAGAGGTAGTATAGTAGTACATATAGATGAGTAAGACTTGATATGACTCACCTTCATCACTCCATTAAATGAAGTGAAGAGGGAGAGTTCCAGAATTCCAACTCTTTGTTGAAGCTGTTATCCTGGTGATCAACATCAGGATTATGTTTGCAAGAAATCATCAAAATTATCCCTTTTCCCTCTATTTTATGGTCCATTAAAAATCTTGTAGGCCTGTTGCTCAAACTGAAAATGCTCATATACCCAACTAAAAATAAGGATTGTTTTCCATCCCAGATAGAGCATTATTGCATTTGATGTAGTTATTAATGAAATTGAGATAATGAAATTCTATTTTATATTGGAGTTGCAGATGATACCAACTGCACATGAATAAATATTTTCTTATTGTATATTATATTATCTTATTGTATATTGTATCTTACTCTGAGCATGTTGTTATGAGGGAACATCTGACTATTTGTAAAAACAATTCAGCTGAGTCAGGGAAGTTTGCATTCATCAAGTATTTGTGAATTGTCCTTGACAGTGGTGACTGACGACGGCACATGTGTGTTCTTCAGATTCTTGCATCAGAGCATTTTCTTAGCCATGCATTCCATAAAGTCGACGATGAAGGCCCTGGAACAGCGTAGCGCAAACAAGGAAATTGAGAAAAGGCTAAAGCAAGAGAAACAGGATGCATCCCGAGAGCGCAAGCTACTTCTTTTAGGTTGGCTTCTTTTGGCTTCAAAATCTACTTTGCATGTCAATGAGATTGATATTGCATGCAGTTTTGTCTGCTCTCAAGATTCCCATGAAGGCATTGAATCCTGCCTCATTCTGATATTTCTGATATGGACAAATGTGAAATAGCATGATGCATGAGAAAGGAAAAGACCACAAAGGATTATCTCAATAAGTTTTAGTTTTTCTGACATTGACAAACTGGAGGAAAAGACTAATTTGAACTTGTGCCATTTCACTCTAGTTCAAAATCTTACTTTAGTCTTACTTACTTACCTTACTTACCTTACTCAAACTGAAATTTTATTAAATATATTGATTGCAAACCAATTAAATATATTGATTTGTTTGCATTCAAGAGAGAGCATAGAGCATGATCATATGATATCCAATGATGAAAGTTGTTGAGAAGTCTTGCAAGCAACATAATGGATAGGTCTGTTTAGTAGAAATGTCTCTCTGTGTGGATATATCATAATAGAATAACATTTCTGATTCCTACATGCTTTGCATAGTCAGTATATAAAGATTAAGTAGTGAATTTTTGTGCAAACTCATATTTTTTTATGCAGCCTCATGCATGCAACCCGGATAAAAGCATGTTTTATTAGTATCAGAAGTGATTTATGTCATTTTAAAAATGCATAAAATGGATATTATTGCATATTTCATTGATTTTAAGTGTAAAAAAAACTGCTGTTCATAAAAAAGTGTTATATTTTTTCATGAGGAACAATGAAAATTTTCCATTATTCATTTGCTATGAAGAATAGACCAACTTACTCAGCAGGCACCTGACCAAACCCACTTCTCTCATATTCCATCAAAGGGGTTATGAAAGCCTGCCAAATTAACACCTAATTCAAGTACTGAAGAAGGGTCAGACATGGATTTGTGAAGGAGAGGGGGAAATGGGTGACCAGAAAACTTAAGACATGGAATGTTGACCGTTGTGCACAACTGAAGTCAAGCCTCAATTACTATGCAAATCAAAATTTTATGGAGTAAATGCTATCTTCATGCTTGCATACCTTGCTACAATCAATGCAAATATGAAAACAACACCTAAGAGGAGCCTTCCTAGTTGAGACTTGTTGCAGGAAGGTGCTTAGAATCTTGATCGAAGAGATGGCAAGAAGTAAAGTTTCCTTTGACCATTTTCACTTGAACATTTTTTCTTCTAAATCAATTTCTTTTTAGATATATTTGCATTTTACATGTATTAATTGTAACATTTTAATTCATGACCAGTTCATGTATGGCTATTTCTCACAACAACCCATTGTCTTCCAGACCGTGCTTGTGCTTGTCTAGTTGTCTTCATTTCCTTTCTCATGGAAATTAAGGTGATTCAGCACTGAGTGTGTTGGTAAAAGTCTATATATACCAACTTCTGCATGTCATTGAATTTTATCTGTCAATTCAGGGACTACAGGGTCGGGGAAGTCCACTTTCCTGAAGCAAATGCAGATCATTCATCGTGGTGGCTACTCTGAAGAGGACAAGCATGGCTTCATCAAAATCATCTACCAGAACATTTTCCTTGCCATGCAGATGATAATTAAGGCCATGGAACTCATGAAAATCCCATATGAAAATCCTAAGTTTCAGGTGTGTAGGTACTTTCATGACATCCTTCCTTTTATGCTAAATATTATTTGCTAAAAACTTTGAAAAACTGGTTGAATTCTAGGTTGGAATATTTACATGTTTTCTTATATTGAAAAATTAATGAAAAATATATTTTTTTTTTACTTAGGAGAAAGCAGAACTTGTGAAAAGTGTAGATCACAAGACAGTGACAACATTTAAAGAGCCTCATGTGAGTGCCATTAAAGCCCTATGGCAAGACTCAGGAATCCAGAAATGCTATCATCGCCGGAGGGAATACCAGCATGCTGACTCCACCAAATAGTATGGTTTCTATCCATTGTTTCTGTGGTCATTCCATGCCAAGAGTTTTGGGGGCTGTGGGAGGTCTTCTCACAGATTTGGATTAAATTTGGCCCATAGGTTCCCCTTACTGAGAAATGAAACTTGCAATTTGTTTGGTCTAGGTCCTCTTGGCTTGTAAGATATGAGGTCACAAAGTATTGAGTCTTTGAGGTACTATGGTACAGCATAAACAACTTGATATATCAGTAACTTTTTAAACAACATTGATGTTCATCTGCATTCTCTTTAAGTGCTCTTCCTTAATCACTTAACCCTTTCAGTGCCTAATTATTTTCTCTCCATTTTTTGAGGCTATATTTGCATTAAATAATTCATGACATCACCTGAAATTGAAATCAGCCCTTAATTTTGCCATGATTTTCCATGGCAATATTAGCTGTAATAAGGCAATGAATTGGTTGCCATGACTGCCTAAGTTTGGAATATCATCTGATTGGATCCTCTGCTTCAGTGCTTTTATGGGCAGATCTGCCTCTTGACATCCCTTCCTTAAATCATGAAACTTGATTTCTCTGTATCAGGCAATTTGGGAACTCATTGAAAGAAACATTTTTAATCTGTTGATTGTAAGTATTGTTCTTCTTGGATGCAACTATGAAAACAGGAAACTTTTCAAGGGAACATCCTTGTCAGTATGTTTTAACTCTTTCATGGTCTGTGGTACAGAAATTTTGCCACCATCTTTTAATGTATTGAAGCATAGTGATACATTAATGTACCACCTGTTTGTAATGTTTTGAGGCAGCATGGTGGATTATTTCCAGAATCACCTTGTTGCTCAAATAAATGTATCTCATTACAATTTTTTTTTGGAAGTTAAAAACACATGCAGCAAGGTATTTTTTTCTTTAAATTTTTGTGCATGAAAGAGTTAATTGTGCTAACACTTTGGAGTCTGAGCCCTAAAAAGCTTGTTATTCCCCAGATACTGAACATATTTTATTGTTTTCAGACTGCTACTAAGGGCAATCTAAGAAAGAAAGAAGTATGATTCTTTTTTTTATTTTAAAGCATGTTCTTTCAGCTTTAGAAAGATTAAAGTATCATTAGAAAATGTAACCAAGTTGTGCTGAAAAAAAAATTTGAATACACACTTGTTTTAGGTTACTGAAAAAATATCAGCAAGTTATTTTTCCATAACTCATTTATTTACAAAGGTTTAGCATAGATTCCCCAAAGATTCACAATTGTCAACCTCTGACCCAGAGTATTCACATAAGAGGTCATAAATATAATCTGAATCACAATCAGCATGATATTTCTTTGAAGCCATCTTGCCACTGTGATAAAAAAAAAACACAGGAGTTGAAGTTAGCTGCATGTCCAGCTGCTGTTTCAATCAATTATATAGATTCATATGGGTTTTGCTGCTATCTGCTTGAAATTTTGTGAATCTCAAGACTTGAATCTTCCTGTTATGGCAGGCAGCACATGTTTGTCTTACCTAGGAGATATATAGAAGTGCAAAGTCAAGAAAATATGAGATATGGGTACTGTCTGCTTTGCAAAGTACATTGCCCATATCACATGCAGGCATAGACTGTGTTAAAAGTCAATATAAAAAGTAGATGGGTACACTCTGGAAGTGAAGGGAAGAAAGGTATCAGGTCTTTCAAGTGCTTTCTCTTTTATCATCTTTGCAGTTCCAGCCAATGGGGAACTCTACAGGGTCTGCCCGGGCTTAAAAATTAAAATTGCCATTTTTGGTTACCCTTATAGGCATATAGAGTTTACTCTACTGGTATGCTGGCTTTTTTTTATTATTTACAGATGTCACTGAAGGTGTCCATATCTTCATTCATGTCCTAGACAATAGAATTAGAAAGTAGTAGTGTGTCTTTATTTGTGTTTCAAGGAGAAGTTGGTTATTGACATTGAGTTAGTTGCCTTTGAATAGATATCATGCACTCCCACCTAATAACATTTGTCCATACATTGCAGCTTCCTGTCAGACATAGATCGAATAGCAGGCCCCTCATACCTCCCCACGGATCAGGACATCCTCAGAGTCAGGGTGCCAAATACTGAGATCACGGAGTGTGTCTTTGACTTCCTGGGTGTCAAGTTCAGGTACAGCTGCAGGCAGTCTTGCAACCGTGTGATTTTCTGTTCATTAGTGTTGCTTCTTGGTTGCATGCTTTTCATGTGTAAAGCTGCTCCTTTTCACTTGCCATTTAATAGGATGCTCACTATGCATTCATTATCTGAATAGGAAGTTGAGATAATGAAGCAGTGATGTGCAAAGGTGTTTGTTGTAAAAATGAACCTGTTGCATGCTCATTTTAATGCTGGTTGTAATGGTGCAGTTACTTGGATACATAGATCTTGCAGAAACAATTGACTGTCAGCTACCCATGAAATTAAGCATGCATGGGTCTCCACAACATGAAATATGGATTTTTTTTTCCTGTGATGTTTTCAATCTACTCTTTTCTCTGCCTTGATCAATTTACTTAAATCTTTTTGCTTTCCTGCAATATTTACCTGTTGCTTATATAATAGTATGCTTCTGCATGTGCAGAATGGCTGTCACAGCTCCATGTGAGAATTACTGTGCTATATATATTTTATTCGAAGCAGGTATTGTTTATAGGAAGATGTGTTTCTAAAAAGCATATTATATGTTCCAGGATTGTGGATGTTGGAGAGCAGCAATCAGAACGGCGCAAGTGGATAAATTGCTTTGACTGTATCTCAACTGTCATCTTTTTTGTCTCCATATCTGAATATGATCAGATGCTCTCTGAACCTCCCAATACGGTTAGTTTAATTTCAATTTTCCATATGTCTGTTTTTAACCTTTTCCATGGCAAATTAAGGAATTGCCCAATTAAAAAATTGAATTTAACATTTTCCATACTTCCAAAGTGATGAAATGCTGAATACTATTAGGTGACTGCCATAAAACCAGCTCTGTCTCAAATGCCAGTGCTTCTCAGTTGAAAGAGTTTGACTTAGAAATTTTCTCTATACTGGTTATTTGTCATGCCAAATAGTATATTTGGGGCAGGTAAGTTGCTTGCTTAGTAATGTGCCTGGCTCCCAAGGCAGTGAACCTGGGTTCAATTCCAACAAAGCCCAAGAACTTTGGGAGGAATACCTATGGGCACGAAGCACTCTCATCTATAGATGTGGGCTGAGCCCAATTGGTGAAGGCTGGACCCTGGTAGCATATCCCCAGAGTCACTGCCTGGGCCAAATTGAGCCTCCTAAGATTATAAGTTACTTGCGTTCACGGGGAGGGGGGGCGGGGAGGGTTAGCTGGTTTTCCAGTCAGGGTGAAATCATAAGCCAAGAACCTGTTGTGCCTGGTGGCATGCTATATCATATCATATGGTATCATATTTAAAGTTATGTACTTCCCACAGTAGAAATGCATCTTCTTAGGACTTAGAATTCCTCTGTATTCCCCTCTTTTTAAATCCTTGATGGTATCTATGGAAACAGAATCGGATGGAAGAGAGCAAGGCCCTGTTCAGGGCAGTCACCATGTATAAGGGATTTTTGCACTCTTGCTTCTTCCTCTTCCTCAACAAGACAGACTTGCTCAAGGAGAAAATCATGTTTTCACACCTTGTTGACTACTTCCCTGCATATAATGGTGAGTTCTTTTTGCAAATTCCATTCCATCATCACAAGTCAGTAGAAGTTTTGGTATTTTATCCATGAAAGACATGGACTGTCAGGATTCTCTCAACATCTTTTTTTATTGGATTTCTCTACTCCTGCTCTGAAGAAAATGGCCAAATTGGAATTTGAATCTAGCATGGATTGCCTGACAACACTTGGTCCTGAATCCCAATCAATGGCAACTTGTGGATGAAAAATTTGCGGGGCAGCACCTGATTTTTCATAATGAACAAGAATCTATTGTAGCAGTAATGGGATCATGGAGCATAAAATGTGTGTTTAGGTCAATCTTGTCACTTGATGAGTCGCACTTCTTGAAATGGCAGGTAACAAATAAAAGGCAGGGTGAGAAAACATTCCATGTTGGTAGTTTAAAGCCATATAAAGCAGGGTGAAAATTGAAATTCATTGAACTCTTGTGGGAGAGTAGAGGTTTATCTGGTCCTAGTAAAAAAGTATCACTTTGACAACTTGAAAGTTTCAGATCTTCTCACAAACAAGTCACATTTAGTTTACCTTGCAAGTATGATTATGCAGAATATATCTTGTGCAGTGTCCATCCTTTGCAATAGTCAGGATATAAATTGGCAAAACCAATTCAGATGACTGAGATAACTCACTACTTGAGCCTATTGCACATGCTACATGATACCCCTATGCACTGTCTACAGGCCAGTAGAGACCTCCAGGCCCTGTCCTCCCATCTGCGATTCTGGGCAGGAGTCAACTCCCAGAGACCAGGCTTAACTCATTTTGCATCAATTGAGGATGAATCCAATGCATCTGAGTGATTTCTTTCAGATGCTTGTTGTCTTAATGGATATTTCAATGTTGAATGGGGAAAGTGTCTCCCAAGAATTTTTGAGGAGACAGGGCCTCCTGTGCTTCCCCTGACAAGCTGCCACTAATCCCAATCCCTCCCATGATATCTTCTTGTAGCTCAGTTTTGCAACAGATTGCAAGAAAACTAAATGACTTTGTTCCAATCCCAGTCATCCCCTATGATTCTACCATACAGTCCATATATTGTAGTACATTTTACAGTATTGAATAGAGTCGTTGAAGTTTGGTAGACCTATAAGTATCATCACATAATACTAGATATGGGTGAATGGATAATTGTCAGTTAAACTTGAGTTGATGAGAAAAAGGTTGGGGCAGGTATGACCCTTTGGAATTGTTCTCATATTCACCTACAGGTCCTCAAAATGACCCCGTAGCTGCCCAAGAATTCATCCTTCGAATCTTTCAGGACCTAAATACTGATGCCAAGATTATTATATATCCCCATTTCACATGTGCCACAGGTAAGTTGCTAATCTTGTATGCAAATAATGTTCCATGACCCCGCTATTCATCAGCTTTGTTATATGCCTCCACCACTATATTATCCTGCATTATATCACTTGGGATTTTAGCATTTCTCCTTGTATTCCTTCATTTGGAAGGCAGGAAATACATCGTTAGCTGCCAGAATTAATGCAGGAAATTGGGTTTTGGTCCACATGACAGCATTTGAAACAGCTAGAGAATCGCAAGCATTTTTGGATTCAGTAAATACTAGGAGATGCTCTGACTCTTGAGGTAGGTTTTCTTATCTTCAACTGCATTTTCCAATATTTAAAAAATATTTTCTTATGCTCTTGATATCTCCAAGTAAGTCTTAAGGAATTTCAGAGATTCAGAGCTTGGGAAGAACGTTGTGACATGAGTTTCATTTTGAGCATCGGATCTATTGTATCATATGCTAATGAAATTTCAGTGAAGAGGGTAGCTATAATTTTGTCATTGTCGAGTTCACTTAGTGCTGAGTCCGTTAGTTCTAATAATACTGCTTATGTGCATGAGCGATTTTTTTAAAAACCAGGCTGTGATTCTGTGAAGATTCTGTGTATGTGTTTCTATTTTCTTGAACTTTCCTCATGACCACAAGCACAGATTTGTTTGAGAGATTTTCTGGATCTTCAATGCAGAAATGATTGCCCTATATGGTCATGACTAAAAAATATACCGATTGCAGTCTTTCACTGCAGCAAAAAGCTATCAGGTACCTCGATGGATTTCCTTTAACTTCTTCCTGTCTTTTCTCATTCATTGCCCAATTGATTTATATGCATGGTTGTACAAGCTCCTTCCTTGCTCCGCTGGTTGGGTTCTCTTTTATATTCGTGTACTGATTATTGGAAAGCTTGAAATTCTTTCGTGTTTATGATTTTTCAAAATAATTTATTGTTGTCTTGAGTGTAAATTAAGTGTAAGGAATATGTTCCTATGTATCGATGTGTTCCTTGATTTAATTTACGATCTGCCTCGCAATTGCAGATACGGAGAACATCAGAGGTGCGTTTGATCACGTGACGGACGTCATACGTAGTTCTACCCTGACTTGCCCGTGCTGACCCTAGCAAAACAGAGGCACAGGCTTGGGAAAGGTAAAAGGAAAAATCGTTGGAGAAAGCAGAAGTGGAGACCGCAAAGTAGTCGGCATCCTCTTCCATCCAGCTAGCTGATAGTTTCCCTCGTACCTCTTTTCCATTGCTTAAGACTTGCATGACCCGTTTTTCTATGTGCCACGCTGAGACCCAAGAGAAAACTTCCCGGCGAAATATCATCGATCGTCTGGCTCCGATAGGGAAGGTAAACAGTGCTAGTAAAATGTGTTCTCCCCGGAAGAGAGCTACACGCATGATATCTGAATTTTGTCCCACGAGTGTAGCACATGGCTTCAGGCTCAATACCGCCAGTATGGAGAATGCCTCTGCATTCCTTTTCTTTAAAAACATTTTATTAGGGTGAAGATGGTGATGATTGAAAGGGATTTGTTGTGCTCCACGGTTCCCCCATCGGATTGGTTTTCCCCACGATCTGTCCGAGAAATGAAATCCAACCCTGTGCATGCTCTTAATCGTCTTCGGCATCGTACTAGCCTTCTCACTTTTTTCTTAGTGAGCTAGTATCCTTCTGTGCCAAACTGCCACCGTATTCGTTTCGTCTCGGATCTCCTTCGATTCTCTCGATCGAATTAGCTTGCAAATGTCGGTACGTCGAGGGCATCTCAGGCAGCCGAGGTCCTGACATTTTGGTCTTTCGTTTCGGTTCTCTCCGTTCGTGTGACGAGCGGTCGTCCGGGCCCGGCCAGCAGCATTAAAAGCGGTAAGAGACGCTCGAATCGTCACCGGCGGAATCCGATATCGTCACGAGAAAGGCAGAACCTTCCCTCTTCGGGAAGGCACGAGGACTCCCTTTCTCTGAAAACTTGAAAAGTCTTAAAACTTAGCTTTGTTTCAGCTCGCCAGATGTCTTGGAAAAAAATTAGAGATGATGATGAGAAACCCTTACCTTCTGGTTCGCGATCGGCGACAGCGTAGGGATTATTTTCACCCCCTTCCTGCAAGGATTCAAGTTCGCGAGAGTGCTGCAACGGGCGTTTGTTTTATGGTGGGTCATCATTTTTTTTATATTTCTTCCTTTCTACTTTTCGTGTTAACTTTTTTTTTCATGTTTGCCTTTTTTTGTATGTTTTTTTTTTTTACGTTTTCCTCCTCCGGTCTTGGGGTTTGAGCTGCCTGCCGATGACAGTATGGCGTGAGTGAATCCATGTTCTCTTATTCTTTATGCTGGTTTTCTCGTCACAAACACTCGTTAGTACAAACACGAATTTCTGGTCACGAATGCAATTATCTGTTTTGCTTCAATAAAGGAGATTTGCATTTCGTGTTGGCTCGGTCTTTCCGTCCCGGTTCGGCGATTCCGGGTCGAAATAACTCTTGAATTGCTTCGAGCTCGTTCTGCACGTTTTGGACTTTAGGTACTTGCAGTACTTTCGTAATCGTTCGGTTCTTTTCGTTCCATGTCTGCCCGATGACTCGGTCACAAGAACGACATCTCCAAAACGGTTGAATAAAAACGGGTGAAGCTTCATGAACTTGCGGGTTTTCTGCCAATTGCCGGAAGTTAGCCAGTTCACGCGTGAACGTCAATTGCAAAAAAAAAAGGGGGAATACTGAATTATTATTATTATTTTCATGTTTGCCTTTTTTTTTTACGTTTTCCTCCTCTGGTCTTGGGGTTTGAGATGCCTGCCGATGACAGTATGGCGTGAGCGATTCCATGTCCTCTTATTCTAATAAAGGTTGAAATGTTGAGACTTGGTTGAAGTTGAGAATCGACATCAATGAAACGCTGGCTGTTCGTAATTAAAAGTATTTGCAGCATATTTTTTTCTTTTTTCATTTTTCAAATTCGTTTTTCATCAAGATTTGCGCTTAGTAGCCACTGAACGACTTCGCAAATCCACGGTAGTGACAATAACGCAGAGGATTCAACATTTTCCTTCTGAGCCGACTTATTTTCATCGATTTCAAAAGAGTTTATACGCTTGCCTCGATTTCCGTTCGCGAGGAACCTAAAATTGGTCCATCGATATCGTCACGACGTTCCGTGAGTTTTTACCGACCGCTGAATTTCAGCGGTGAAGAAATCGCTGGTGAAATTCGAGCGGCGGGAGAATGCACTTCCTGGGGAATTACGGCGAAAATTCAATCTCCGAAACGGGATTTAGTGGAACTCCCGAAAAAAATGTAAATTCACGGAAAGGAATTCAGTTTCTCCGGGAAACTGGATAGACTGCCAGGTTTTTTTTGTCGAAAGTTTTTTTTTTTTTTTAATCGATGATCGGGAGAGAGAAACCTTTGCGCGAGCATTGTCGACTCGAAGTTGCACAGATCGACTCGGTACCGTCATCGTGAGTACCTATGAAAGATTCTTGCGCTTTCGTGAGCGCCGAAATCGTGCATCATTCTTTGCGCAAGAGGGATCGTGCGAATATCTTACGCAGAAACGGTTCGTGAATGAGGCTCAACTCGGCGAGCGCCACGAGATGGTGGCCAGGGCTTCAACCGGGTTGCCAGGACCAGGGCCGTTTCTAGGCATATTGGCGCTCAGGGCAAGGAGTTCCAATGGCGCCCCCCCCCCCCCCCCCCCCCCCCCCCCCCC